GCAGTCTCTTTAAGCTTCACATTTAGTTTATTTTGTAATTAATTTGTTAATTAATTAAGGGTCTGTAATAATTAATTAGTTAGGATAGTTGATTCATTATTCGGACTGTATTATTCTTTCGGTCCCTCCAAGCGAGGGCGTATTTGTAATAAGTGTGCGTGAGTGTGTGCATGTCTTCCAATCCCACGTCTTTCTTCCCTTTTATTTGCCTGCTTATGATGGTTAGACTAGGGCATATTTAAAATTAGTATACCTTATGCTATGCATGCGTGCATCCATACATTTGTTTTACATGCATCGGGTTCGGCGTATCATACTAACTGTATTTGTATTTCAATTCCAAAGTTGAATACATGTTAGTTGTAGCATCATCACATGCCATCTTAGAATAGCCGAGCCTATTGTAGTTGCATCTTGTATGTATTGCATGAGCCATCTTAACATGAGCTAGGATCATGCATTGATTACTAACTAGCTTTTGTTTTGGCTCGGTGTACTAGGTAAGCTTTTATGCTTTAGCATCTTGCATGAGTGTGAGTGTTTGCCATGACAGCATGCTTACTATGAGGCTATGTGCTTACGTGTTATAACTGCTTGAATGCTTGTGGGTGAAGGTTGGGTTACTTAAATTGGAACAATGCATTGGATGCGAATTTTAAGCCCACTTGAGAGTGGCAAAACCATATTTTCTAAGCCCACTCGAGAGTGGCAAAATCCAAGTCTTAGCCTACTCACAGGTAGCACCATCAAATCATTCTCCAATAAACAAACATGAAATGTTTTGTTCCAATTTAGGCGATTTAGTCTATACTTGTTTGCTGTGCGCATCACGTAGTAAATCTAGGCTAATAACCGGAATAAGAACGCACAATGTTTTTAAAATCAGATATCATGATTAGTAGAGGCCGGTCTTTGGACCGGGCGAGAGGGGGTGCTCATAGCTGACCTTCAAAAACGGATATCACGGTTAGTAGAGGCCGATCTTCGGATCGGGCGAGAGGGGGTGCTCATAGCTGACCTTCCCCAATCGTACCCTAGCTCCCGAGCCGAGGCAACTTTGGTGATGACGGACGCGTGGCCTTTGGCACCGAGTCAGGGTTTCCTAAATTCCCCCTTAAAAAATATTTAGGTGGCGACTCTGTATCTGGCAAAGCAGTCCATGTTTGGCATTTTTTTTTTCTAAAAATCTGTTTTCTCAAAACGATTTGCCGGATTTGGACTCTTTGGTTTTAGATTAAGAACCGTGACAATTCGAGTCTGAACTGTAGCACGAAGGCCTCACGCGGGCGCGTCTATAGGTGCCACGTGTCCTGGTCATGATACCGAGATCATCTCGGCTAGGCCGAGGTTATTTGCGAAGAAACTGGAATCCGGGATAAGCGGATAAGGGACAAGAGTCCTAAAATGATAGAAGACTTCAGTTTGGATTAAAATAAAACTCTTAGAGAGTTTATCCCAATCCTACTGGGAGTTCAAGATTAGCAGTAATCCTGAGTCCATTGAAGTTAGGCTTCTATGAGGATTAGTATTGCGTTGGCTATAAAAGGGAGGCACCCCCATGGGTCTAAGGCATGTCTTTTATGCTTTGTCTAGTGAGTTAAGTACTATTGGTTATCTTTAAGAGATATTTTACTGACTTGATCATCGGAATGTCCCCGAGTGGACGAACCACCGCCGGAATCTCTTCTTTTTATTGCAGGTCGTTCGAGCTTAATCTGTTCTACCGGTGCTCTCCAGGTAAGTACTAATTTGACCGTGTGGTCGGAAATTGACACACACACATATCATATTATATTATATGTACATATATATTTTTTTCTTGTTGCTCAAATAAATTATGACCTTTTTATTGCTGGTTAGCTCCATCCAAATGTTAAAATTATTGAGATTTTGTTAAATAATGAATTTTTGTTTGAATTATTAAGTCAATTTTTTTTCTTCTCATTTATCCGAACAGATTCTACAAACAATTGGTTAGGACATGAGTATAGATTGATTCCTTAATTACTTCACAAGAAAATTTAATAAAAATTCTCCTTTTTATTGTGTCTATTTTGTTAGTACTTCGAATTGATAGTCCGTTGGGACTATGAAAGGGCTTGGTGAGGGTATTAGTAATTTGGGCTAGGAGATTGTATTAGAAAATAATTTGTTTGGCTTAGGGTGTTACCGGTTATCCGCTCGGATTTCCTGTCGGACGTTCGGTGGGTCAACTGGCCAATTGTAAATTTTTTTTTTCAACATTAACGTTTAATATTTTTATTTTTTTGTTAAGTAAAAATCATAATTTAATTTGTTTTATTATTTTGTATTTATTTAATTTAACAATTTATACACTAACAACTAGTGCTGTAAATGAATAGAGCCATTCATGAATAGGCTCGAGTTTGGTTCGGTAAAAGCTTGTTCGAACTCGGTTCGTTAATTTTTTTTTACGTTCAAGCTCGAACTCGAACTCAAACTCGTTAAATTTTTAATAAACAAGCCTAAATATTCTACAACTCAGCTCATAAGCTTGGCTCTTTAATATTTATTATTTATATATTAAACAATGTAAAAATATGTATAAAAAATAAGATAAATATGATATTTATATATTTAAAAATATATAGATAGTACATTTATATAATGGTGGTAGTAGATATTATTATTTTGATAAAATATTCACTTTTTTTTAAGTATATTTATATATATTGTATATATAAATGTATAATCAAAATTTTAATTATAACTTTAGTCTCATATGTAAGTATGAATTTATAAATTTTTTAGCTTATTAGGGCTCATGAACAGACTCGAACTCAAGTAAATCCTAAGCCAACTCGGCTTGAGTTCGGTTCGTTAAATTTTTATTGAACTCGAGTTCAAGCTCGTTTTCGTTAAAATCTCAATAAATAATCCCAAACATGTTAAAGTTTGGCTCGTTTGTAGCCCTACTAACAACTCTTATAAAAGCAAATATAATTTTACTAATCTCCTTATTATCAATCCCCTCACTAACAATCCACTCATTATTAATCCCCACACTTTCAATCCCCTCCATACTACTTCTGAAAAAAAACGAATATTGAGAGTTCTCTGAACTTAAATATTACGACAATATTGTATTAATATGTGCAATATTGGAATAATTTTGAAATCTTAATAATAATTTTTTTATATCAAATTAAACTAAACAAAATAAAAATGTTTGGTTTGTTTCTCAAAAAAAAAAAAAAATCACAAATGTTTCTGAAAATTTGAAAACTAATTTGATAAAAATATCAAAAAAATATTTATAAATTTTTAAAAATTATTTCTGATTTCTCAAAATATAAAATTATAAAAAATGATAAGCATTTAGAATTTTTTTTTTATTTCTTTTATCAAATTAATTTTTAATTTTTTAAAAAAATTTCTCAATTTTTTTTTTTTTGAAAATCAAACCAAATATATTCTACTCAATATTTTGCCCAATGTGCCCACTGGAATTTTAGGACCACCGCTAAATAGAGAAATTATTAGCAACTTTCAAAATAAATACAGTGGGTGCTCTATCATAGAGATTGGTTTAAATAATAGGGTTTGTCATTTTTGTATTAGTGTTTGTTGTCCTTTATTAGAGCTCGTTTGAAATTTTGTTATTTTAATTATTTTTTTTAATTTTTTTTACAAAAAAGACGAATAAAAAATAAAGAGAGTGGCGTAATAATTTAATTTGATTTTTTTTGATTATTTTAGCCAAAAAATACTTGCAAACAACCTCTTAATTGGCATGAGTATTGCTCCAGGAACAGTCAATAATTTTTCGAGTGTATTTAGTGTTTGGAACACATAATAATTTATAAAAAATATAATCGATGATTGGGATTAATTCCAATTGTGGCAAGATCTCCATTGAAATTGAATCTCCACCCTTTTTTGCATTATATATGTGATTTATTCTGTGTTCTTATTAATGGGTACAAAATCCTAACGGGGTAGCCAAATAATAAAAATCTGGAAATAAAATTCAAAAGTCTATTGAGAGGCCACTCAAAATTTTAGTTACTTCAAAAAAGTCTCCAAAATTATTTCTCGAATGTCCAAATACTTGTAGCCTGGAGTATAAAAGCAAAAGAATATACCCTTGGTCCAGCGCAGTTGGCTACATGGCACTCAGCGTGGGTTTGATTTTTCTTTGTTGTGTATGTTCTGATTTAATTAGAATTTGTGTTAAGGGGTCGGTGTAAGTTTTTAGGTTATAATCTCTCGTCCGGAATGAATAATATGATACCTTAATGATCTTGACACGAGTTCTGCCTTCAACCTGCAGAAGGATGTGGGGATTTCTCTGTAATAAACAAAAAAAAAAGAAAGAGCAAAAGAATAATGCTATATGCACTAATTGATATATCAATTAGTGTATTTTCAGATGATGTGGTATAATTTTAAAAGTTGTAAATATTTATAATTTATATAATGAATGGAGTTATAATTTTAAAATAATAATGTCATAATATAGGTTAATATAATAATTGATATATCAATTAGGACATGCAAACAATAAGGCCCCGTTTGTTTTGGGCTATAGAGAGGGTATTAGGACTAGTAATACCAAGGTATTACCAAAGCCCCGGTTTGTTTGCAGAGAAAGGGTTGGAACTATTAGTCCATTGGTATTGCTAATACCCTTGGAAGGGGGATTGGTAAGGAGGAGGTAGAGATGGTATTAGAAAATAGTGAGGGGATTAGAAATTTTTTTATTTTTTATATATTGAGAATTTTTTTTTTAATATAATGTTTAATTTTTTATATTTTTTTATTTGTTTTATTATTTTATATAAAAATAATTTAACAATTCCTCATTATCAACCCCCTCACTAACAATCCCCTCACTATTAATCCCCTCATTATCAATCCCCTTCATTCTATCTCCCAAAACAAACGGGCCCTAATTGAAAAAGAAAAAAAAAAAAAAAAAACCTTGGTCGGTACATTTTGTAGACCATTCACAGCTATATTAATGGCATTGACCATACTTGAGTCTTCTCAAAGATCAAACTCAAAGTCCCAATTTCCAACATTCCAGCTCTCTCTCTCTCTCTCTCTCTCCCATTCATATTATATTTCTTGCAGTTGTTTTAGCTTGAAAGAAAATTAATGGAAAGAGAGAAGGGATACAAAAAGTTGTGGACAGTGGAGGAAGACAGAATTCTCATGGACTACATAAGAGTGCATGGAGAAGGAAGGTGGAATCGCCTTGCTGAAATGACAGGTTTGCCCTTGGCATCAAATTTCAAAGTAGTGAATTTGCATGCATTTTTTTTTGAATTTTTGGGTTATAATTAATGGGGTTGTTTTGGGGAATTCATGTGTTATGTGATATATATATATATATAGGTTTGAAGAGGTGTGGGAAGAGTTGCAGATTGAGGTGGAACAATTATCTTAGTCCTAGAATCAAACATGGTGATTTTTCAGAGGAAGAAGATGACCTCATCATTAGGCTTCATAATCTCCTTGGGAATAGGTTTTCCTCTCTCTCAACTTATATATTATTGTATTATCATCAATTTAATTTATCTATTTTTCCATCTTCAGAAAAATAATTAGGTCGGAATTATACCTAACTACTTGAAAAGTGTTAATTACACTTGGTAACGCTTTTCATTAAGGGTTAATTACTTTGTTCACTTATTTAGTTTAGTTCAAATTTCACTTTACTACTTGAAGTGTTAAATTGAACAATTTGATTCCTATAATTCAGTTTCAATTTAGTCATTCAATACAAATTTAAAGTTAAAATTAATAATTTTTAGATACTTGTCAATTTTCTATGGTGACACGTAAGAAAAAATAATCAAAATTAAGACATAAGAACGAAATTGATTATGTATAAGGATCAAATTATTCAATTTAAATTATTAGGACTATAGTAAAATTTAGATTAAATTATAAAAATAAAAAGTATAATTAATCCTTTCATTAAAATTTCATTTTGACAAATCTACTTTCAATTCTTACACTTTCATTCTTCCTTCCATACAGCAAAATTGATATTAGACTATATACGACATATGGTTTTTCGCCTCACTAGTACCTTTCAATTCTCATTGAAATCTCATTTTAAGTTCACTACTTTTTTATTTGTATGCTTGGAACAATGTCACGTGTAACACACTGAATAATTTTTTTGTCAATCTAATTAACATCAATGGATGGGAGGGTGACTCTACAATTTCATTTAGAATTTAGCATTTAGTCATTTTAATTTAAGATGACATTTGGACTTGGCAGGCTCAATCGATTTCGGTGATCTAAATAGTTTATTTTTTAAAATTAATTATTCATGTAAAAAATTAAGATGATTGAGTATTGGTAGTTATAAGTTTGAATCAAATTTTAATTACAAAAAATAGATGGCTCTGCTTGAAATTATATTTGTTGTTCATTTTTTTAAAACAAATATAATTCAAATATATAGTTATTGATGTTCAATCATTTTGATTTTTTGTATAAATATTCTACTCAATGAGTTCTAAAATATGAGCGGTTTGGATCACTAAAATCGGTGCCAAAATAGGTCTATAAAGTCTAAACACTTTTTCAAGTTAAGATGATAAATTGAGAAAAACCAAACCTTTTTATTTAAAGCATAAGACTTGAATATAATAATTGAAAGTGGGATGACCAAAATCAGGTGTTTATAAAAGTAAGAGTAATATTTTGAACCTATCCTTATCAACTCAGAAATTATTAAGAATTTTTATCTTTTAATTCAAATTTATTTTACACATAAATTTTATACCATACAAATTTAATTATAACCACACAATTTTATTCAGGTAAATGTATAGAAGTCAAGGGTGAGTACCTCAAATTATTCTAAACGTAAAGGGCTTGCTTAAAAATTATTTAGGTTGTGTTATATAGTACACAGGTCTTCGTATGATATATATATATTTTTTGGTTACCCACCCGGTATCCGACCCACAGGTCTTCGTATGATATGGACCTATCAATTTGAGACATAATTTTAAAATTATTTTGCGCATAATCAACGTCACTTTGGGCATTTCATGTCATAATTACCACACTCTGTGGCATGACAAATAATACTTAGGGTGCTTTGGCAACTCAGTAAACAGTCAATTTTTAACTTTTTATCCACTTTGAATCACATCACTTCTCATATTTTTTATCTACAAAAAAATAAAATAAATTAAAAAATTTAAAAAGTCAACTTTTTTCTAACTTTTCAAAATACCACTTAATGAATTTTGTTATCGTGTGTTTTTAAACCACTTGCTAAGATATTTAAAATTTTATTTTATTTTATTTTTATTTTATGAAAGTGAGTATAATAAATAAATAAAATCTTTTTAAACTCTTTTAACATGTAACAAAGAGTTTGTGAAGAGAGAGAATGTGAAACAAATGGTTATGTATTGTACAGATAACAAGGAATGCATGTATGCATAAGTAATCATTTTTCTATAAGCGGGAATGAGTTGTTTGGTCATTTTAGAAAAGCATATTCTTATGGATATATAGGTGTTTTGAAAAGATGGTAAAAAATTAATTTTAGATTTTTTATCAAATTTGATTGACTTTTTTGAAAAGTGATTTGAGAAGTTAGTAAAAAATTACTTTTGACTTTTTTGCCATATCATAATAAAATGATCAAATTATCCCACCCAATTTAAAAAATTTACATTTTCATCAATGTATAACTTTAAATAATATAAAGGGTATAATTGTAATTTTTTTCACCTTGTCAAATGATTTTTTTGCTAATAAAACCAATGAGATTGCTTGTTTCTACTTTTCAAAAAACACTTTTCATAAAATTCTACTTTTTTATTTTTCGTGTTTTTTTGTTTTTATTGAATTTTTTTAATATTTTATGCAATTTTTTTACTTTTTAGACACACCTAACATAAATACACTTAAAAAGTAAAAAAATTATAAAAAAAATCTTTTAAAAATTCATTAAATACCAAAAATATAACAAAATACAAGAATTCAGTACATTTTTTAAAATATTTTTTATGTATTTATTAATTTGTTAAAATATTTTTTCACAAATTTTTTATTTTTTAGATACATCTAAGTAATGTGCATCTAAAAAAGTAAAAAAAAAATGTTTAAAATTTAAAAAATATTTACTAAAAACAAAAAAATACGAAAACTAAAAAAGTCAATTTTCAAAAAACTTAATTCAGAAAACTCAAACCAAACACACTGAGGCCTTGTTTGGGAACATGCTAATTTAGTAACTTTTTGACTATTTGGCTAAAATATGAGCTAAAAAAAATTAGTATATTTGGGATGATTTTTTGATATTTTACGAAAAGATGCGTAAAAAATAAAGAGAAAAGAAAATCTTTGACTTTTTGATATAAATTATTAACTTTTTGATTAATTTAATAACTTTTTTAATTTTTTAATTAAAAAAAAAAGTTCGACTGAATGTAATTTTTTTTGACACCAAGCTGCACAAACGCAGCTTTTTAGCATGTTGCCAAAAGACTACATAGTAGTTTAGCACGTGAACTTTTAGACTGATTTTTTTTTTTTGTTCAAAATTAGACTTTCTAAACTGAGTGCCCTTCAATTAAATTACCTAATTTTAATTTAATAATATTTTACACAAACTGATATACATACATAATATATAGTATATTTAATAGCAAATTGCTTGAGGATGATGAATCATTTGACGAATACGAAGAAGCAATAGTTGGTGGTCTTTATAGGTTCTGAATAACCGATAGTCGGGTATCAAAAACCCGTGAAATTGTTCTTTCACTAGAGGAGGACTGGGCGATGATCGGGAAAAGGAAAGGGGCAGTGGCGGTGGTCTGGGATGGTAGGAGGGGCAGAAATGATGGGATGGGATGTGAGGGGAGGGAAATGATATCGCAGCAGATGATTGAGAGACAGAGGGCGGCGAGAGTGTCCTGGAGAAGTTGATTAGGGTTACAGATTTGTTGAAGAAGAAGACAATAAAGACGGGTTTCAGATTGGATGAAGAAGAGATGATGAAGATGAAGGGCACAATTGTCATTTAACATTAACTTAATTTATTTTTATTGGCAACTCATTATTTTGACGGAGGGTAAAGTGCAAATTAGTCAAAATCACAAAGAGACTTATTAATGATTTTTAAATAATAGAAGAGTAAGTGTTTCACGTGAAATCATAGGGAATGAAATAGATTTTGTCCATCTTTTTAAATACCCAAATTTTGTCAATTTATATACTCTTTTTGTCTTAAAATAATAATTTTTTTTTAGCATAATTATTGCACTTTAAAAATATTTATTTTTCAAAATTATCCTTTAAAAGTATTTTTTTTTTAAGAATATCAATTGTTATAATTGTAAATTTTGTGTTAATGAATTTAAAAGAAGGGTAAAATAGAAAATTTATATTCTAGGCCTGTTTGTTTGGGGTTATAGGGAGGGAGGAGGGGATTGAGAATGGGGTGTTTGTTTTGAGAGATAGGGAGGGGACTAGTAATCCCTTGGAACTAGTAAGGAGGAGGAAGGGGGATTGGTAAGGATGAGGTAGAGATGGTATTAGAAAAATAGTGAGGGGATTAGAAATTTTTTTATTTTTTATATATTGGAATTTTTTTTTTAAATATTAATGTTCAATTTTTATATTTTTTATTTGTTTTATTATTTTATATAAAAATAATTTAACAATTTCTTACTATTAATCCCCTCACTAACAATCCCCTCATTATTAATCCCCTCACTATCAATCCCCTCCATTCTATCTCCCAAAATAAATGGGGCCTATGTTAATGAATTTAAAAAAAAAAGATAAAATAAGAAATATATATTATTTTAGTCATTAGTTTTTGAAAAAAAAATTAATATTTTGAAATAATAAAAAATAGAATAAGAAATTAATATTTTGAGATGAATGAAATATTTTTTTATGATATTTTAATATTTTTTATGAAATTAATATTGTTGTTACTGACATGATGCTAATGACCTTGACTCTTGTTGTTGATGTTTTGTTGGTATTCAAATTTGTTTTGGTCACACATTTTCATAGTATAAGTTGTAGTAGCATTGCCATTATTGCATGCTGTGTCGGTAAAATAATAATGCAAAAACTAGTAGTCCCTCTTCCACCGACATTGTGATTCTTGTTGAAACAACTTGAATAATATTGGTTAATTCTTATTTTATCTTAATAAAAAATGATAGGAATCATAAAAGAATATTTCAAAATTTACTTTGAAAGTAGGATATATAGTGTAAATTTAAAATTAGTGTGATGTGACAGTCAATTAATTTACTTTTCGGATAATTTTATTAATACATTGTTTGAGTATCTAGTTTTGTTTGATTGAATTGTTAACCATCTACAAGCTTCTTTTCAAATTTATTTAAAAAACATCCTATTTCTCAAATTACGTGTATTGTGACTAAGCATGTGTTTTGTTACCTATCTAAAAAAAAGCACGTGTTTTGTTTTCAAATTTTCTTGTTTTGAAGTTAGATTTAGAATTGAAATCTATTAAAATTTGAAATGTAGAGAAAGTGTGATTGCTAACAATGTTTTTTTATTTTTATTTTAACATTGGCAATCATATTTTCATTAGTTTGAATAAAATAGAAAATTAAGAAGTATGGTTGATACAAAAACCACATTACTAATTATCCATACTTTCATGAAAACATGCTTACTAACCAGACTTTATGGTTTGAGAAATAAGTTGAAAAAATTCCAATTTTTTTAAAAATAAATTTTGAAGGAAGATATTATGGTATGAAGCCGGATCTATCACTATTAAAAGGACAAAAATCTACTGCATATAGTTCGATATGATACATAACAATTGATATTTATTTAATAATATTTGTCAATTCTTATCTTAAAGGTGGTCGTTAATTGCGGGGCGAGTACCGGGAAGAACTGACAACCAAGTAAAAAATCATTGGAACACTCATTTGAGCAAGAAGCTCGGAGTGAAAAAAGAGATAACCAAACTGGGAGCTTCATCGCAAACAATCTCTACCAAATTAATAGAGAGTGATAGTGTCCCCATGCATGCAAGTTCGAATCCGCCTTCTGATAGCAATATTAGAGCTGAAGAGCAAAAGGTGGACGACAATGGTTACCAGAGTAATGTTGGATTCTTAGAAGTGGAAGATCAACAAAGAATAAATGAGAGTTATGAAAGTCCTTTTTGGTTTCCAGATGATGATCTTAGATTAAGCACCCCTAGTTTAATGGAAATCTTAGATGAGTATTCTTTTGATTTTGTTTGGCATAACTTATAAACTTTCTTCTTTGCAATCATTTTCCTGAATGGAATCTTTATTGGTCAATCTTTCTTATGTGTATGTCTGTGGGTGATAATCTCTTCAAATAATCATATTGATTGTCTCCTAAAAATGGTTAATTAGATGGACACCCTTTCAATTATCATACAAATATGAATTTATTTTTTATAATTTTAAAATTGTATATTCAGACCATGCAACCATAAAAGATTGCGGAAATATTTTTTTTAAAGGAGTTAAAGTGATATAAATTTTATGATTGAGAGATTGAATGTACAATTTTAATTTTTTTTTTTGAAGTTGTAAAAATAAAATAATATTCAGTGATATTTGAATTAACCAAAAAATATATTCCAACTTGATGTTTTATTTCTCTTTTGTCATTCCCTTTTCTCACTCATGTAAGGGTTATTTGTGCCTTTCACTTTTCACGTCAACGGTATAATTGTTATTGTAAAATTTAGACTCAGTTAATCAATGGTAAAATTTCAATATAAAAATAAATACCACTTTCCTACTAGGTAGATTAATGACCTAGTAATGGCATGAGGCAAATAATATTCAACTTTTCTTTTATTTTTGACGTGGCTAAACCCATAAAAGCCATAGCTCACTGTAAACAATCCAAGCCCATCACTTGGAGCCCAGTACATAACCCAGCCGGTGGAGTCTAGAACAGCTGGAATCCAACATGGCACAAAGAGCCAATGACATTCAGACATATGGCAGGCAAAGGACAAGTCACATCAGCAGACAAAGATCTGCAAAGTTATTACTACTGCACATCACCATTAATGCAGCCCATCACAGCATTTATTACGACAACACCTCTCCGTCGGAACAGCACCACTTTACCCTGAACAAGGTAAGCTACAGCATAAACTTTCGGCGAGGAGGGCAGGTCGGAAGGGACAGCGAAATGATTACCAAAGGATATAAGCAAACGTTGAAGACAAGAAGAAGGTTAAGCTTTCTATCTCCAATCTCTCTCTCTACATTCTACTTCCTCTATTAACTTGCTCGTCGGAGGGTTCACTGGAGGACTACCCTGTTCCCCGTTGAACTTGTTTGCAGGTTATCTGGTGGGCTTGATCATTCGGACGTGGGCCTGAGGAGCTGGGATTAGTCCGATCCATCCCTTGGAACAAACTGTTTCATCAATTTTTATTTTTATTTTTATTTTTATTTGCTTGGAAGGGGAGTATTTACAACTATAAGAAATATTTGTATCATCAATTAGACTAAGACTACTAGCTCAAAAAGTTAACAAAACCTAATACAACCAACATACTATCACTACAAATGATATCAAACTCTTCTCTATAGAAATTAAATATGAAATTTCATAATACAAAGGGTGTTATACAATCACTAGGCCAAATGCCTTTATTGATATTCAACTTAAACCTTAAAAAAAGATTTTATTATATTAATACTTTTTGTATTAAGGAAATGGAGCTTTTTTAATAAATTTCCTTTCTGGGAGTTCTATTCCGTCTAACCCAAAACATTTTTGAGTATTCCATTAGCCCAATTTGATGTAATAAGACCAAATAGCTGTCCCGCTTGTATTTCCATTCATGAATTAAAACCCAATCACAACACTCCTCTTTTATCATTTCATATTTTACGTAGAAAATCTCTCATTCCCCAAACCCTCACCATTGTCTCTTCAAAACCTTAGGTTTAGTCGTCTCTCCTAAACCTTAGGTTTCATCACATTGCCCGTCCACCATGCTACCATCATCCCACCGTCACCAAATCATTGCCGTCGACTGAAAATGTAGGCCGAAGTGACTGTTGGAACAATCTTCTGTGTAAAATAAATAACTTGAAATAAATCAAACAAACAAAAATAAATTATTTACAGAATTTATTTACCGAAATGAATAAGTACAAAAATAGATCAAGTCGAGTGTGTGACACTTTGTCCTTAAGACAGATTCGCTCTGCTTCGGTGCTTACGAGAAAATGGCGTTTATCTCCCAATATACAATGATCTACACAAATTGTAGTAGCACTCCAAACAATCTGTATGGCGAACTAGAACCTGTGTTCTATACTCTCAGAAATTTCCCTAAAAACTAGTATGGAGAATAATAATGCACGAGAGCAAAATGAGAGGCAAGCAAAGAAATTTCAGAATGTTCCAACTACTGGAAATGTCCTGGTATTTATAGGCATATTGGAGACCCTTTGGAATGGCAGAACAGGTAGGATCTAAACCTGAACAGGTTTGAATTCAAACTGGAACATGTGCAAAACAGTTTTTTATCTGTCTGGGAACAAAATGAATCTGTCCAGAACTGTGGGCAATTTTAAACCTGTTTAGACAGTTTAATTTGTTGGAGAATTGGATTAGAGAAGGCAAAGTTTTGGACAAAAATTGAATTCAAATTTGGCACAAAATTTGAATTAATTTCATTTAGAAAAAATAATTTTTCTCACAAGAATTTTTGGAAAAAATTCAAATAAATTTTTTTCTAAAAAATTAATATTAGAACCGATCCACAACCCACACCTGGCACGACTCAACTCAGCCCGGTCGGCCGGCTGGACGGCAGCAGCGGCACGCGCGCGTGTGTGGTGGTTTGGGCCAAGGCCCACTTTGTTCATGACTCCTCTCTTCTACAAACTTGGGGTGTCCTTTGGAGCCTAATCCAAGTATTCCTACCTAGAACTTATATATACACATAAATTCTCTTTAAGTTTCAATATGGGACAATCTATTTAAAGGAAACCCACTTTTGACTCTTTAATTGTCCATTTCACAAATCCGAAAACGACGTCAACTTCCTATTCACTCATAAATAGTTTTGACAAACCGTTTGCACTGTGTGACTTGCCATATGGCAAGAAACACGTCACCTCTTTGGACCCATCCCAAAAGACATGTGGGACCCACCCAAATTTGGGCTCAAAGTTTGCCCAAAATAAGCCTATAAAAATCATAAATTCCAACAATCCCCCACATGAATGGAATTTGGCGGAGAAAAAATGCAACAACATGATCTAATTATTGAGAGTATAGAAATTGGAAATATTCTGCAAAGGATAGGTAGCTTTTGGCTTTGAAACCTTCCCTTGTGAGACACTATTGGATTTACTAGCTAACTAGTGAACATGATGTCTTGAACTGTTCAACCATTTGTGTAAACCAAGACAATAGAACTCATACAGTATATTATCAGACACAGTTTAGTTCTCACTATTGTGTTTATTTTGGCCTTGAACAACCTGGTCTTTCATGAGTGCTCTAGAGAATTGCAGCCCTTCACAAATCTTATAGAACCGGCCCAGTTCACACTCACATAGATGATTCTTATGAAGAGTATCTTGCCATACTTCACTAGGTATTCCTAGCTATAAGAATCATTAAAAGTATTTCTTAACCTAAAATGCTGAGACATTACTATTTCATCATAGAAATGGATATGAGTTTGACTCCCTAGTGATCTTTGTGAGTCATACACAACTCGGTTGTTCCTTTGAACCTAGATCTTGGGATCTCTAGTCAACTAGGTTGGATTGCCATTATGGTTACTCTTATTTAATAGGCTTAACTCTCTTGCTAACCCTTTGTTTTAGTGGATCCGCTATGTTGTCTTTAGACTTCACATATTCAATAGAAATAATTCCATTAGAGAGTAGTTGTCTCACGGTGTTATGTCGATGACGAATGTGTCGTGACTTACCGTTATATATATGACTCTATACTCTACTTATTGCTGATTGACTATCACAATGTATGCATATAGCAGACACCGGTTTTGGCCACATTGGAATATCTTCAAGGAAGTGACGAAGCCATTCTGCTTCTTCTCTAGCTTTATCTAAAGCTATAAATTCTGATTCCATAATAGACCTAGCAATGCAAGTCTGTTTAGAAGATTTCCAAGATACAGCTGCCTCACCAAGAGTAAAGACATACCCACTTGTGACAACCTAACTCTGGATTATGCTAATTAATCTTAATTATGCTTATAATTATGAGCTTGATATGATTTCGAATGCTAATTATATGATTATATGTGTTTGTGAATTTATATTTGTTCACCGTAGGAAAATCTATTTGACTTTCTGTTATAAAATTTAAATTGAAGGCAGTGGAGGTGACAAAAATTGAAATTGGCTGTGTTTTTGCATTCAACACGATTTTTAGAGCATATGGCGAAATTTAATTAGAAATTGATTTGGATCAAAATAATTAAATCGAATTGATTAATTTAGCACAATTACGTAGCCTTAATCAAATTTGATTAAGGCAAGCATATATAAAGGCCTAAATACACTTATACTCATTCCTTGGGAGCTCAAGAACCTGAAATAGGCACTCTAGAGAAAGAGTAAGCCGAACTTAGAGAGAGAAAGAGGCCAACATTGAAGATTTTGCAAGGGGATTAGAGAACTAAGTGGATTAGCTCAAGATTTAGCTATATTTGAGAGGATTGAAGCCTCTAGGTGAGCAACTAACCTCTAATTCATGAGTTTAAGCTTAAAATTATGTGAACTCAAGAGAATTGGTAATCAAAAACAAGATTTGAATGGTGTATGATGAAATTGAAGGCAATATATATCCATGCATGTAAGAATTTTCACGAACTTGTATAAATTGGCATGAGGCATGTTGAATATATAGAATTGAGTGTCAAATTACACATGCATGTATAATTTTGTTAAACCTCAAGATTTTGATCATCATTTGTATTATTTTACATGAAATTGGAGTCTATATTTCACATGCATGCATCATCCTTGAAGATATGAAGTTTGGTAGCTTGTGTTATGAAGTTGTCAAGAAGAATGTGAAATGATTTGGGATTTGGACCATGGTTTTGGGAAAATTAGACTCAATTTGCCTATGTTCTCATGTTATATAATGTTTTCCATGTTTTTGTACCAAAAATGTGAGTTTTGAGCTTTTGGAATCAAGTTATGAACTTCAAACACAGTTTTGGAAAACCCAGAACTCGACTTGTCTGCTCGAGCGAGGAAAGTGTCACTTGAGCGTGAAAGTGGAGCTCCCAGAAGTTTTGCAGAGTTTTGCACTGTGGCTTGCAGCAAGCTCTACGCTTAAGTGAACTCTATTTTTCAAAATTCCTCGCTCGAGCGTCGAGAATCTCGCTTGAGCGTGAATTACATGCAACCAGTACTTTTGTAGACTGAAAGGGTTCGCTCGAACGACCAAAGCTGCTTTCGAGCAGAGAGCCCTGTTTCAAAAAATTTGAAAAGACACTTTATCTTTTGTTTTCCGTTCTCTTTCATTTCTAAGCACCCTTAGGCATGCATTGAGTACGCTAAATGAATTAAAGAGCATGAAAGAAGCCTAAGAACATTAAGCAAATTAAGGAACGGATTGAATTGTATTATGACCCAATGTGTTATGAATTATGTAGGGTCAAGTGCAAGGACGGATCAAGCACCGGAACACAGTGAGTGATACTTTAGTAAAGACACGTTCGTATATGCTATGTTTTTTTTTTTTTTTTTTGTTTAATACCACTCATGTGTAAGGGTTCTGGACTTGTGAATTTGAATTATGGATGAGTATTCTTCTCGGCTGATTGTGCAAGACTATAATGAAGTTGATAAGTATGAAATCATCTGAATGGACCAAAGGTCGTTTTGAATGAATATGAGATGGGCCTAAAAGCCGTCCTGTATATTTGATTATATGGAGTTGTTCTGAATGTATATGAAATGGGCCCAAGGCCGTTTTGTATAATTGTTGAATGGGTCAGAGGCCGTTCTGAATAAGGGAATGATTGGACCTAAGGTCGTTTTGAATGCGGAGATGAATGTGAACATGATCATGGATCATGAGTACGTATAAATGTGAAAATGGATTAGTTGGACCCAAGGTTGTTATGTGTGTAAATTGGATCCAAGGTTGCTTTACATATGATGGACCTAAGGTCGTTTCGTATATATTGGACCGAAGGTCGTTTCGCCTATGAATTGGACCCAAGGTCGTTTTGCATGTAATGGACCAAGAGTCATTTTGCGAGTATGAGTTGGACTCGAGGTTGTTTAGTATATGAATATGGATGAGACACATGATATGTTGGGCCTAAGGTCGTTTTGCGTTGGTATTGACCGACAAGTTTGGGTTATAACCTATGAATTAAATGAATCTCATTCATGAACTCCTTTACTTTGGTATTATTTACTGGGCATTAGCTCACTCTTTATTTATATGTATGTAGGTGAGTAGCAGGATATCCAGCCTCAACCCCAGTGAGCTAAAAACCAAGTTTTGAGGAGTCAACCAAGATCGCCTCACGCAAGAGGCTTACTTTTGTTTTGCTCTCTTATGGTCATGTATGACTAACCTTGTGTATAACCTTGGATTTTGGTGTTGGTACTATTTTGAGTGATCCTGGATGTATATGGTACATACATAATGTAACTATTGCATGGTGTGAGTTATTATATATAAATGAGAAAGTTTTTGATTAAACCATGTATGCACAGCTCGCACTACAAGAATTAACACTTTTGGCAACAAAAAAATTGGTCGCTAAAAGTCTATTTTTGGTCGGCAAAAGTTATCCGCGACCAAATTTTTTGGTCGCTACTTTGGTCGCCAATTGAGGGTCGGCAAAAGTAATTCGCGACGAAAATTATGGTTGGTCGGCAAAAGTTGGATTTTGCCGACTAAATTTTTGGTCGCGAAATATTTAATTACCGCGACTAATTTATTTTGTCGCCAAAACACTTTGGTCGCGAAAAGTGATATTTTCCCGACCAAATTTCTTAGTCGCCAATTGTCACATTTGGCGACCAAACTTTTGGTCGCCAATTTTTACATTTCGCGACCAAATTTTTTGGTCGCCAATTGTCACATTTCGTGACCAAAAAAATTGGTCGCCATTTGTGTCTTTTCGTGACCAAAACTTTTGGTCGGCAAAAGTGAGATTCCACGACCAAGAGCTGTTTTGGTCGGCAATACATGTATTTTTTGCGACCAAAACTCTTGGTCGGCAATTGTCATTTTTTGCGAAAAAAAATTATTTATTTGTCGCGACTAATAAATTGGTCGCCAAAGCAGGAAAACAATACACCTGTAATGATGTTATAATTCAATCAATCCATAATAAACTTATAATTTTAAAGCATCATTCAAATTAACTGAATTATTAACATCAGACACAATACATAATTCATTAACATTCGACACAATACAACTATTCTAAGTTTTCATTCACAAGTCACATCCATCTAGCATAACAAATTGAAACAATACATAATTCAGATTTACAGCAATAGGAAAATTGCTTAATCCATTAAGTTGCCTTGATAGCCAATCAAAAAGATCCTTGCGCCCTTTCGTGCCAAGCTTCGCATCCATCAAAGCAGTAGTGATGTAAGGCACCTAATAAAGAAACAGAATTGGAAAATTTATCAGAGAAGCATGATAGTGGCAGCAACATTGGATTGCAAACCCGTATCTTTGCAAAAATCAATTAAATCCTATAAACATGTACATCGTATTAAGACAACTAGCTGGCATAATAAAACTGTACCTGTTGTTGTACCTGCAAATTTCAATACACGATGATTAATAAGCTAACAACCATAACAACCCTGCCAGTAAGATAAGCAAAAAAGTTAAATACCTGTGTCATTGTCAAATCCTACTCCAACACAAATAAAATTCAATGATTGCTAATTGGAGGTTGAGCAGTTCTATCAGACACTAATTACTTCTCTAGGTAGCATATCTTACAAATGATGAGTTATTGAAGACCTAACATGAACTTATTCGGGCATAGTTAACTATCAAAGCTCCATTCCCTTTAAATGACCTAAAATTTGCAATTCACCTGAAGTGGGCCCTTCAGCACAATAAATATTTCTTACTTTCCAATTTCCCAATAGGCAATAACATAGCACATAAATTCGAGGAATGGCGCAAGTGACGTTCCATATAGTGGTAAACCCAGCGTCATAAACTTTGACGGTCTTTCATTCTTCCCTTCATGATCACCAAAACTCATGGTACATGTTCAAGAGAAATCAGAAAAACTAAGTATAAACATTGGACATGGAGAGAGAATAACCTTCCAGCCGTTCTTTCCATACAGCACTCTTCAATTGTGAAACACTATCAGCATTTACTCCTACTGACAGTGATGAATTGCATTACTCATATATATATAGTGTTGTGGGTTATCATGAAAAATTAGATTTTATTATTTTGTCCAAAAAGATAACTTACTTGAAGAACAATCATGAAAGAAAAATACAAAAAAGGATAAAACTCAATTCCCCTAAAGCTACTGACATAAAGAAATGACATGAGACATTCTAAACATCACTAGAGGTCCCACATTTTAGTAACACATTTTTGGTAACAGATTCTAAATATTCTAAACAGATTTTTGTAACATATAAAATTTCACCATTGTCCATTGCATATAGATAAAACCAAAAAGAAAAGACTAAACAAAAGTTAAATGTTTTAAACCTGATCAGTCATGATCATCAAATGACCATATCTCAAAGTCTTCACACTGTCATACTGTTTTCCATGCTGAAGTCCAAGAATCTGCTTGATGCTCGTGATTTCAGCGTTCTCCATGATCTATTTATGGCTTGCTTTCCTCACATTAAGCAATGTACCTCTCAACGGGAACACACCATAATAATTTCGATAATAAGACAAACAAAATTTAAATGAAATATTACCACAGTCAAAGACAAAAGCTAAGAAAATAGAAGAATATATTATTATGGAGGAAGAAGAAGCAACAAGAAATTCGAGCAAGTATCATTAGCATCAACAACAAGCCCATTCATCAAGAGGCAGCATTGGAGCTTAACTAAACCCAGCTTAAAAACAAACATGGAGCTCTCTTGAGATAGTTCAGTGAAAGTTTGCTCTGTTTCCAGTTTTAGTAAAGCATCTTGAGGTGGAGATTTAGCCTTTGGTCTACAGAATATAAGTACATTTGAGTGGTAGACTACTAAAAGGAACAATCAACCAAAAGAAATTGAGTCCAGCATGAAGACAAATTATATACCTAATAAGCACGGTCAACCCTTTAATAATTACCTAATAAGTTCATAAACTTCAATAATTAATAAGTTGACAAATTTGGTATTTTGGTATTTTGGTATTTTGTCAGTAGATCCAAATCATATCTAGATGCTAAAACAAAAGGAAACTGCAGCCAGATTGAAAGCATGAAATAGAAAAAAGAAATTCATATCAGGGAGTGTACCTGGATCCATTTGTCACTCAGTCCAAAACTACGTGCCTTGGAAAGCAAAGTTGGATAAAGTTCAACCTCTAAAATCCTTACAAGTGGCATTGGCCTTCTGACACCATTTATGAGAAGCTTTGGTCCATTTGCACCAGATATTATTTTGTCAAGGACTTGGCTGATTGTGTAAATTGGAATGCCTCGGGCAAATTGATGATCTTCTGATGAACTACTTCTATATTTCAGCTGTAATTGGGAATGGAAGAATCAAAACAAGTTTGCCTAATAAGGCAGCTCACAAGAAAGAGTGAACAGGACAAACCTGTGTGGAAAAGCTTCCCCATAGAGCCTGAACCCTGCCATGCTCATCGGTTAGCACACCCGAAAATGTACTACCAAAATCTGAAACCCAAATCAGATGACGCCAAGACAAACTTATCAAGAAGAACAACTAAAGACAGCGGGACAATCAACATTTGAAAAATTGATATCCATTTCAAGCCTGAACAACGTTTAAAATTTTACCTCCCCAGGGATTTCAATTGGAAAGGCAGCAAAAGAGAGCATCACATCAGACACAGATATCACAACTGTGTTTTTGTCAACAGCAACCAATCCCATGTTATGAGAATGATATATAATAACACCAGTTCCTAAAAAATGTTGCGAGCGCACACCATCAACCATGCATGATGGTGGTACATGAACCTGCAAGTTTTCACATCAGGTGAATTACTTCTCATAGGATTACTAATTTGAAAATGCTCATCCATCAAACCATTCTCAACCACACAGCAACTACCATAGCTATGGTAACAATAATTTTTAATAATAATAATAATAAATTATAGTTCATGAAAACACAGACAGAACTCATACACAAATCTCAGAAGGACCATATGCTTGACGGCGGAAATGAAAGCAAAATTCAAATATTTCATTTTGTTCTTTATACTGTGATCTCCTTCCATGTATGAAAACAATTTGCATCTGAGTAACATTGGGCTAAAGGCAGTACAAGTGGAAACATCAGTGGGTTCATAGTTTCTATCTCTCTCTCACATATATATTGTTTCAAGAACGCAAATATTGCCTGCATCATTGTCACCTCATGTATCATATCATGAAAGAGAAATCAAAATAGCCAAATAGGTGTAGAAAAGAAAAGGTGTTGCACTTTTATAATAGAATTAAAGCAGATCCATGAGAAAAATGATGAGAGGATTACTTCTTCAAGAATACCAAATTTGTTTTGAATCCCAACTCTTCATCCGCTTAATAACTAGTATGGTCACGACTCACAAGTATCCTCTGGACTTAGCATTTACACATCCATGCTCAGTAATTGTCTTTCCAAATCTTTTGCCTTCTTTTTATATTATTCTTTTTCCAATGACTCTTAATCCTGTCAAGTCTGATGCCATCCAGCAACAAACAACTTTTACTATTTCCATTACTAATAGTAATGACAATACTTAATAATAGTAATGATAAATAAACAAAAATAGCAAAAATAAACAAAAAATTAATACAATAGAATAAACAGTCAAAAGACAACCAACAAAGACAGTATAATATGAATCCTCGACAAAATTACCTCAAACATCACAAGAGTAGGTTCTATAACACACTCAGCTACTGAAGCATTAGCTGTTGTGACTGATACACCTTGACAATCTTCCAGGAAAGCATTTTCTGAGTTTGTCGAGTCCTCCAACTTTTCTTCTCTAGGCTCATGTAAGGAACAGTTAGCGATAACAATGCTATCAGCAGATGAATCCTCTTCTACTTGCCGTTTTTTGGTTCCAACGTCAGAGTCATCATGAGAATGTAATCCCACAGCAACATATTCAGAACTAGTTTCGATACTAGGGGAACCATCTGTTGATTCCTAGTTGATATCATGATGCACATGCTCCATTAGACTAGCCTCACCAGCATCTAATGGAGCTGTATGTTTTGCAAGAGCTTTTTCGGCCTTATTCATGCCAAGGGACAAGAATGGAGATTCAGGTGGCAAAGCAGGCTTTATTTTCCATAAACCAGTACTGTCATTGCGCGTGTAAATCTGAGGAGGGGCATACCATTCATGGCGATCAATCGTGACAAGGACAGACTGCAGCAAAAAGAACAACTTCAAAGCAGAACATCAGCAGACCAAATAGCAGCCTCAGAGCAGCAACATAGAGCAATAGCATACACCATTAAATAACCTTTGATGGGGTTCTAATTTGTTGGATATGGGAAACAACATCCTGTACTGAGAAAGAATTGTGTTCAATTACCTCCTCCAAGGTGGTGCTTGTGAGCTTTTATAGGTTTCGAATGGCATAATCCTAGTAGGACTTTTATTTCTCCATGCAGAGTCCTCCTAGGATTCATATTCCTAAGGATAATGCTTATCCATTTACACCCTCCCCCACTGCTTAAACCAAGTGGGATGGTTTTTGCCACGGCCAAACTTCTATGTGACCGAAATAACACTGGCTATGCTGAGCCACAGAGTAGGCCGAACTATCCTTAGTTCGGTTTTCTCCCGTTCAACCATGGTATGCTGAGACCAAGCTTCTGAGTAGCAAGCTCCGACCGATCTAACAATAATACACCGCAACCGGACTAACTTTGAGACAAGTTACCTCCAGACCGGAGTAGCTTTACACCATCTTGGGCCGAAGCAATTACCCCTCTCCTAACCGGAGTAACCATACCTCTCCTGGGCCGGTGTAACTATGCTTCTTTTGGGCCGGAATATCATTACGGCCTTTTACTGTGTCCTTCACACTTTGGGCCATAAAGTTCGTCTTACAGCTCGGTTCAATTCTCTCCAAAAATTACCCTCTCACATACATACATACATCTAATACCACAATAACTTCATCTCTACAGTCAAGACGGGCCATCCTAAGCTTCTCAGAAAGATTGCCCCAGGAGAACATGCACTTGGTTGAATCAAAGGAATAGAGAATTCCATTTTCCCAATGGTCAACCCAGCCATTATCTCCCACAAGAATCTCCAAAGAACTGTCCCTAGTTCCAGTTGGAGCAACTCGGCCCTAGCAATACCAGCACAATCATTTAACAGAGAGCCATTCACTATAAACCAAATACAAATGCATCAAAATCATTTTGCTGACTGAAATTTTAAGGGAATTTTCTATGACTTGTCCTGACAGTGAGCTCAATGGATATGCAAATAACAGATAGTATTACAACATTATAACAACACAGCATTGGTGTTATTGGTGCCAAACAAAAGAATCTCCAGTTGTCTATTGTTCCAGCTAGAAAGTGGCCGTACTCAATAATATTTGGCACATTAAATTTGTATTGTCACTATATTACAATTTACATGTTTGATGTCTCCATAGAGTTACAATTAGCAACCAATTTAATGAACATAAATATACAAATTCCATATGACTTCCAATCACTGTGTAATCTAACATGTCGAACAAAAGCAGCTCAATAAAAAATACACTACACCAAATCGGCATGAATAAATATGTTTTGAAGCCCATTAAACGAAAGACAACATCAACAAGCAGACATGGCAAATCAGATGCATTTTTGTTTATGGAACTTACCTGCCGAGCAAGTCTCTGGGCACCAAGTGATTTGGCAACAATAGGCCAAAGCTCAGCTCCAACTGAATCCCATGCTGGATCCTTGAAGGATGTCATTGGAAGCATAATAATATCCCCTAGTCGCTCCCACCTGATGCAGACAAAAGTGCAAATAATAAATGACTTAATTACGTAGCTGAAATGCAGCATCTTATTAATCAATTGACAAATAAAAGGGGAAGAAATAAAGATACGAAACACAAACCTTGTGGGTAGCTGGTCTAAAAGTTCAGTAGGTAGGCCTTTGTGTTATATTTTTAGTTATTGTTGAGCTAATAATCAGTTTGATATAATATTCTCATATTTATAATTATTGTCCTACTTATTTTGACATAAAAGAAACTTATCAAGCTACCCGTGAACGCAAATTTAACTTGCCAATTTTTATTTGTGGGATTGTTATGCCTTACTTTTCGATGTTGTAATTATTCTCCCACCAATTGGCAATAAAACTTGTCAAGCTACCTTTGAACTCAAATTTGACTTGCCAACTTCCATTTATGGGATTGTTATGTCTTGAAAAATTCCTCTGTATTTGGTTTCTGTGTTCTTAGAGACAAAATATGAAAGAATAGAAATAGACAAATGAAGTGACAAAGAAGGGCTTATTAAAAAATACTGAGTAGTAATTGAATAACATATGATTTGATCTTATGTTAGGATAATGAAAAAGAATTTAGGAGATTGAAGATTTCAAACAAAAGCAACTATGTTGAATAGTTTAAACGTAGAATAGAGTAGCGGTCACGATGAATTGGAATGCCAAGTCAACGTTTCTAAGGAATGTAACATCAAACACTTCCAATTGCTACTGCCCTGCCTCAATTGATTCAAACAAAAACAAAAAAATTTAAAAATCTCCTTTCTATTCAACTGTTTTCTCAGCAACCAAACAGCAATCAAAGAAATTTATCAAAAAAAGAAAAAGAAACCCACCTCTGAAACAGGACTGTGAGATGGATCAGACAAATGCGGAGGTAGAGAACCCGAATGCACAGATCTCGGCACCTCCATTCTCTCTCTAACTCTCATCTCTCTCTTGATCGCTTTCTTCTCTTCCAAATTGTCCCCAACCCTAGGCGACGGAACCTCATTCATCTCCCACAGCATTGCCGCCAGCTTCCTCGCAGACACTGGCCTCGACCTCCCACCACCGCTCTGCGACGGCGCGTACTTGCGAGAATCCAAAGCCGCGACCGTCGTCCTCCAAGACGGAACCGAAGTGCTCGATCTGGATCCCGGAGGCTTACCCACCAAAATGGCCCGCTTGAATTGGTAATTCTGCAACACAGAGGACGAAGACGAAGACGAAGAGCAACCTCTCTTTCGGATCTTGCAGGATCCGGGAATCAAACCCTCCACAACCCGATTCTGCCTTGGCATTATCAATTTCAATTTATCACACACTCTCTCTCTCTCTCTGATCTATGAAGAAGAAGAAGAAGAAGAATGGATTTGCATTTGAAAATTCAAACCCTAGAAATTTATGATATGGGTTTTGAAAGTGTATGTATATGCTTTTTACATAGCCGGAGCTGGTGGATGGAGTGTGTTGGGGTAATCAGTAGCAGGAGAGCGATGCAAACAAAAGGAAATGAGAGAGAGGGAGCATGTGAAGGTGAATGCGTATTTTTAAAATGACGTCGTTTTAGTAATGGCGACCAAATTTTTTTGTCGCCAAAAATTTTCAATTCCCGCCTCTATAAAAATCAAATTTCCCTTCCAATCTTTTGGCGACCAAAAGACCATATTGGTCGCAGAAAAGGTACCTTCGCCGACAAATTTTTTTAGTCGCCAAATCTCAATCAACAGCGACTAAAATATTAGTCGCAAAAAGTATAAATTTGGCGACTAATTTTTTTTGGTTGGTGAAAATAAGTTTTTGGCGACCAAATTTTTGGTCGCCAAAAATTATGTGACCTTCCGCGACCAAATTTATAGTTGGTCGGCAAATGCATACCACTTTCTGCGACCAACTCATTTTTTGGTCGCCAAAATATAACCTTCTGCGACCAATAATATTTGGTCGCCAAAAATAATGATCATTCGCGACTAATTAAAATTTGGTCGCCAAATGTTATTTTTTTGCGACCAAAATTTTTTTGGTTGACAAAAGTGGTCGCCAAATGTGTAAATTCTTATAGTGATAATACCAAAAAATCACAAAAACACTATTAATTAGACACATCTACATACATGATGTTTTGAAAAAACTCGACAGTTTTTGCTACCACACACTCTTATGACATTCCGACCTATTTTCGAACTCTCTAATTTTATTTTATTTTTAATGAGTTTTGTTAACAAGTATTCTTAAGGATGCATTAAATCATCTCAACTACCTCCACTATCATAGAAGATAGGAAAAATTATAAATGTGTCTTTTTAAAGACTAAAATATCATTTTTTCTAATTCTATCTATTTTAACATTATATACTTTTCAAATATAATTTATTTGTTTTTTAAATATTTTTTATCATGAAACTAAATGAATTTATTTTTAAATGAAATTTCAATTTTTAAAAAAAAAATTAAATGTCCTCTATTTTCAATCATAATTAAATTTATATGGTGTGAAGAAAATGAATCTAAAAATAAAAAAATAAAGAAAAGTGAATCTAAAAAAAAGAAAAGAAAAGGAAAATGAATCTTAAAAGAACAAAGGGCATATAAGTTTTTTCTTATATTTGTTATAAAACTAAAGGGCAATTAAAATTAAAAACAAAACCCTTGAAATTTCATTTAAAAATAAATGCATTTAGTTTTATGATAAAAAATTATTTGAAAAATAAATAAATTCTATTTGAAAAGTTTATAATGTTGTACAAGAGTGAATTGGAGAAAATGATAAACTTAGTCTCTATAAAGATATATTTGTAGATTTTCCTATCTTCCATAATAATAGAAATGGTTGAGATGATTTAATACATTCTTAACCAGGGTGCCAAGGGCCTTGTGAATAAAATTCATTTTTCATTCGAAGTTCATAGGGATGTGTAAACTTTGCTTACTTTTTTAAAGTAGCTAGGGAGAGATAAGAGAGAGATAGGATGGGATATTCCACAGACAAACTTTGATGAGTGGGATATTCCATTCAGAGTCAATTATTTCCCACTTTCTTGTACTTTCTTTCTTTAACACAATCTTCTTGAAAAATCTGGGTTTTCCAAAACAGAGTTTTGAGCTTCCAAATGCAAATTTCAATGGCAAATTTGTGCATGGCTTGTTCATAAACTTGGAAACTTATTCATAAAAATGAATACATGATTTTCACAAACTCTTTTTACTCAAAACTCATGAATTTACCAAAATTAGTCCCAAAACTTTCATGTTTGTAAAACATACAACTCTTATCTTCAAAATCCATGATGTTTGGCCAAATTGAGTTCCAAGGCCCCATGCATGTAGGATATTCCTTCTCAAAGCATGAATTCAAGTGATGAAACCTTGTGATTCTAACATGCATGTACCAAATAACCACCATAACAATTTAGATGCTCAAAATCAAACTTAACATGTCAAAACTCCATATTTCCATGCATGTATGCCTCAAATTCATTCAAATTCTTTCCTTCCACTTCTAACACATGCAATTGAGCCTCAAACCTTTATGAATTATGCATGCATGTGACTTCTAGCTTTTAATTTCATCTCTAATGGCATGAATGATGCTCAAACATGAGAGCTCTTGACAAATTCATACATGCATGTATAACTTAGCAACATTTCCTTCATTCTAAGCTTATTTTATGCATTTAAACTCATGATCTTGATGAAATCTCATGCTAAATGACTTAGATGCACAATCTGGAGGTTGCAATCTTACCTAAAGTCTTCAATTAGCTAGATACTTGCACAACTTTGATCAATTCAGGCTACATCATCAACTTCTTCTCAAGAACACACTTTCTCACTCTACACTTGAGCTCACTCTCTCTAGAATGTTTAATCTTAGAATTTAGCACTCAACAATGGGCAAAGATGAGCTCAAATGAGCTTAAGGGCTCACTTATATAGTTATGATGCCATAATACATTAATTAAAACATAACGCAACTTAATTAATCAGACTGAATTAATTTTTAATAAAATTTGCCATATGGTTCTAAAAATTCTGAATAACATATTCATGTAACCAATTCCGATTTCAGATGCCGATAAGGTTTTCAATTTTCATATTAAAGCAGGATTCTAGACAGATATTTCTACAAGTAACAGATAGAAAGCCAAAGATCATGCAAAATACATAATAAACCCATAATTTATTTTATCCACTCAATTAACATCCTTAATTACGGATTAGTAGCTAATTGCGGATTGGGGTTGTTACAATTTATATTTTTCAACTAGAATATTATTTTGTAAAATCACAGAAAATAATTTCTGTAAGAAGAAGAAATGAAGAAAATGAAACAAACGAAAAATTCTGTATACATAGAATAATTCGAATCTGTCTTAAGATTGTTGGAACAATCTTTTGTTTAAAATAAATAACTTGAAACAAATCAAACAAATAAAAATAATTACTTACAAAATTTATTTATCGAAATGAATAAGTACAAAAATAGATCAAGTCAAGTGTGTGACACTCTATCCGTAAGACCTTAAGACAGATTCGCCCGCTTCGGTATTTACGGACAAATGACATCTATCTCCCAGGATACAATTATCTTCACAGATTGTAGTAGTACTCCAAATAATTTGTACGGTGAGCTAGAACCTGTGTTCTATACTCTCAGAAATTTCCCTAAAAACTAGTATGAAGAATAATAATGCACGAGAGCAAAATGAGAGGCAAGCAAAGAAATTTCATAATGTTCTAACTATTGGAAAAGTCCTAGTATTTATAGATAGATTGGAGACCCTTTGGAATGGCCGGACAGGTATGATCTAAACCTGTACAAGCCTGAATTCAAACTAGAACAGGTGCAAAATAGTTTTATATATGTCTAGGAACAAACTGAATCTGTCCAGAACTATTGGGCAGTTTTAAACCTGTTTAGACAGTTTAATCTGTTGGAAAATTGGACCGGAGGAGGCAAAGTTTCGGACAAAAACTTGAATTCAAATTTGACACAAAATTTGAATTAATTTCATTTAGGAAAAATAATTTTTCCTACAACAATTCAAATAAATTAATATTAGAATTGACCCGACCCACATCCGCGCCCGACTAGACGGCTGCGGGTTTGCGTGCGCTCGCATGGTGGTTTGGGCCAAGCCCACTTTGTCCATAACTCCTCATTTCTACAAACTTGGGGTGCCCTTTGGGGCCCAACCCAATATTCCCACCTAGAACTTATATACACACATAAGTTCTTTTTAAGTTTCAATATGAGACAACTCATTTCAAGAAAACCCACTTTTAACTCTTCAATTGTCCATTTCACGAACCTGAAAACAACGTTAACTTCCTATTCACTCATAAATGGTTTTGACGAATCGTTTGCACCATGTGACTTACCACATGGCAAGAAACCGTCACCTCTTTGGCCCCACCCTAAAAGACGTGTGGGACCCACTCAAATTTGGCCCAAAATAAGCCTATAAAAACAATAAATTCCAATAGTGACGATTCACTACTGCGGAATTTCATATCAATTCAATTTCACCAACATCCCACCATCTAATCGTCATTCATTCGTAGCCGACCTGCTGGTGTTCGGTCACTGTCGACGATCTGAAGACATAGCTCTACGAAAGTTCACATTGGGCAACTTGTTTAACCGACCAAAATGAGGAACAAACGTAAGCACCCATCATTTCCTCTTCTTTTTGGTTCAATGTGAATTCCAAAACAATTATTTGATAAATAGCGTTATTGTGTTCCCCCTTTACGTTTGAATATAATGAACTGATGTGAACATTCACATCATGTGGTCATCATTGTTGTTGATTGGTTGTAATATGCTATTATTTTGTAATATTGCTGTTCTTGTTCCTCCTTTTGTGAATGTTGGCCTTGTTGGTGTTGTTGATTGTTGATGGTGATCAAATAATTTGAACCTTCAATTTTTGATTATTTTTTCATAAAAAAAAGTAGCATGAAATACGGTCCGTGTGATTATTTACACCATATATTTGACTGTGAACATTCACAGTCAAATATATAATGTAATGATGTGAACATTCACATCATCTATATATCGTGTTAATTTTATAGTTGTAATATGTTATTATTTCATATTTCATCTGTTATTCTCCCTATTTTTGGTTGTTGTCGCTGTTAGTGCTGTTGATAGTGATCAAATGATTTGAACTCCCAAAATTTTGTTAATTTGTCAAACACACGAACTGGTGGCATGATATATAGTCAATGTGAATGTTGACACCATGTATTTAACTTTTGTTATTTTGTCCTATGTTGTATCGTGTTTATGTTA